CTACCACAGTGTGAAAAATTCCACTTCCAGCCCACCCCCCCCCCCCCCCCCCCCCCGGAGGATACGGCCCTGAACGNACCCTAACCCTAACCCTAACCCTAACCCTAACCCTAACCCTAACCCTAACCCTAACCCTAACCCTAACCCTAACCCTAACCCTAACCCTAACCCTAACCCTAACCCTAACCCTAACCCTAACCCTAACCCTAACCCTAACCCTAACCCTAACCCTAACCCTAACCCTAACCCTAACCCTAACCCTAACCCTAACCCTAACCCTAACCCTAACCCTAACCCTAACCCTAACCCTAACCCTAACCCTAACCCTAACCCTAACCCTAACCCTAACCCTAACCCTAACCCTAACCCTAACCCTAACCCTAACCCTAACCCTAACCCTAACCCTAACCCTAACCCTAACCCTAACCCTAACCCTAACCCTAACCCTAACCCTAACCCTAACCCTAACCCTAACCCTAACCCTAACCCTAACCCTAACCCTAACCCTAACCCTAACCCTAACCCTAACCCTAACCCTAACCCTAACCCTAACCCTAACCCTAACCCTAACCCTAACCCTAACCCTAACCCTAACCCTAACCCTAACCCTAACCCTAACCCTAACCCTAACCCTAACCCTAACCCTAACCCTAACCCTAACCCTAACCCTAACCCTAACCCTAACCCTAACCCTAACCCTAACCCTAACCCTAACCCTAACCCTAACCCTAACCCTAACCCTAACCCTAACCCTAACCCTAACCCTAACCCTAACCCTAACCCTAACCCTAACCCTAACCCTAACCCTAACCCTAACCCTAACCCTAACCCTAACCCTAACCCTAACCCTAACCCTAACCCTAACCCTAACCCTAACCCTAACCCTAACCCTAACCCTAACCCTAACCCTAACCCTAACCCTAACCCTAACCCTAACCCTAACCCTAACCCTAACCCTAACCCTAACCCTAACCCTAACCCTAACCCTAACCCTAACCCTAACCCTAACCCTAACCCTAACCCTAACCCTAACCCTAACCCTAACCCTAACCCTAACCCTAACCCTAACCCTAACCCTAACCCTAACCCTAACCCTAACCCTAACCCTAACCCTAACCCTAACCCTAACCCTAACCCTAACCCTAACCCTAACCCTAACCCTAACCCTAACCCTAACCCTAACCCTAACCCTAACCCTAACGGTACGTTACACCAGCGAAGGGTGGAATGTTCTGTTTGTTTCATATCGTTGAACATATACGAATATCAAATGTTGTAGCTAGAATTCTATGTACCAGTTAACCACAGGTTGTTTAATATTTAGAGTACGTTCACATTTAGTCTCACCTAGCACATTCTGAAATCACACATATACTTGATTTAGAAAGCTATCTGTAGAAGAAGGAGATTCATAAGTTTGAAGGGACACACGCTTACAGATTCACGGAGGACGCTATACGGGGTCTCGCATGTACTGAGAATAGATAGGACAACGACAATTAATTCAGTACGTATTTGCCCGGTGTTTTGTTAAATTAATTTTTATATTCCATTCTCTTACTAGGCTTATATTCACGGCATATGATATCCTGTAGTTAGTATGTAAACGGTGCAGGTAAGTTAAGGTGTTTAAGAACACGTGTTACTAGTGCTTTAAACTTAAGGCGTTTCACGAACGAACATACTTTATCAAGTCCATTAGTTAACCTTTATTTTCTCCTTCTTAATTATTTAGTATGCTAAAGACTAAATAATGCATTGTCTGAGTGACAGTGAGGCATGTTATCGTGTATATCGAGGGTAACATTGCATTTTTTTTTTTTTTGTCGTACACACAAAGGGAAATCGAGCATGTTCGCCACCCAAAAACCCTAATTTTATTAAAGCACCCTGCTGTCAAAAGACAATAGGCTGCGCGCCGTGCTTTATTTCGTGTAAAGTAACATCATTCACGAATGCGTTCCACGCACCAGTGCACAGAACTAACGAGGTAATAGGACGGTCGCAGGACTTGTAGCACTAATCAGCTTACGAGTTTCAGTAAACACGCAGGAAAAAGATGAACAGGTATACGCAGAATTTAACATTTTCGCCTTGCCAATTATCTGCACAATTTCTCGTAAAGCGCAGCGCCTCGTACTTTATGTATACCATAGAACACGCTTAAATAACCGCGCATAGGGTGACATCAGAGAATGGGCTTTGTCCGCGTTTAGGCCACACTATTTTATTTTTTATGGATGACATCCTGCGCGCGCACCAATTTTCATCCGTTCGCCGAAAAAAAAAAAATCCCCCCCCCCTCCAACGAAGTTATTGAATTTGCCGGAAAATGAGCTTTCTGCGCATGCGTAATATCGCCACGTGGAAATATGGCCGCTTTGCCGTCAAATTCATCCCCAGCAGGCATAGTTGCGTTGGATCAACGTTGAAAACAGGTTGATACGTTGAATTGCCGTTGATCTACCTTAATTCAAAGTTGAATCAACGTTGATCCAGCCACGTTGACTCAACGTTGTATTTTGGTCAATGACACAACCTTGCAGTTATGGATTGTAATTAAAAATATTAACTATTGAAATCGTGATACTTTGTTTATCAGTACTGTAACTAAATTTATCAAAATAATAGCAAAATGGTTTTAAAGCGAAAAAAGGGTCGACAGGGCGTCAAGGTATTTGATGGGCAGAAGGTCGGTCAGGCCACCCGACAGTTTGGCTGTTTCCTGTGAGTCGAAGTAGACCAAATGACATCGACCGAAATGACCTTTTATAGATTTGGTGGTATTAAGCATATCTTAGCATCATTTTAAAGATTTCTGTGAAGTGTTCATAATGCTTTTATATTCTGAGAGTACAAATAAAGACACACTGTTTGTTTGATATTTGTTTTATTGATTGTTATACCAACAAAATGTATGAAATAACCTAAATAGATTTGGTAATATGCAGCATATCTACCAGGCCCGTAGCCAGCAATTTCAAAAGGGGGCTGCTTTTTCTGAAAAAGTTGACCCTTTTCCATAAAAACTTCATGTACCTAGATCAAATTTTACCCAGAGTGGACCTTTTCCCAGCAAAAGGGGTGGTTCTTTCTACCCACCCCACCGGCTTCGGACCTCTCTATTCATGACTTTTTTTTACCTTTCTACGAAGTATTCTACGAAGTATTCACAATGCTTAAATATTTTGAGAGCATGGATAAAGACATATTGTTAGTTTAATATGTGTTTCTCTGGTAAATTTGTGTTTCCAGCTGTGTACTGACAGCATTCCTTTACTTAAGCAGCATTTTTTTTTTGACTGTTTTTTTTTCGCCCTCTCGCACCGATTTCGGGGTCCCAAGAGGATGTCATCCATAATAATAAAAAAGTGTGGCCTTATGCCAAACATTTGCGTCTAATTATGGTCACCGCCAAATCATTTTCCTTTGTGTGAATTTATTGCGGTAGTGTGTGTATTGGCAGAGACATGGGTCAGTGGTTTTCCGTGAGTAGTTGGCTGATTTCCTCCCCATCTCCCTCACGTGGCAGTCACTCCCTGTCATTCATTATTTAGTAAAGCCAAGCAACAGGCCGACATTCTAGAAATGGACAAGCAGCCGAGCTATCGATATATCGGACGACGAACTTGTTCGCACAAGTCAAAAGACAGAGAAACGTCATTTTGAAACGGTGCAACAATTTTCTGACATTTCGGACGACGAACAAATGAAATTAAATGTGTTATTTAGACGCGAAGCAGCAGCAGAAGCAGGCTTCCTCGGCTGAGGTGAAGGTACGTATAAGAAAATACGGACTCAGAAAGACGTCAGTGATGAAAGTGAAACACCAACAGATTCATCTTCAGTAGATAAATCAATTTTCAAAACAAACCAGCCGGTTGTATTTCAAAACTGCACTTTCCAATTTCATTAAAAATGAATTAAATGGCTGATGTTGTTTCTTTCTTGTATTTCTTCTAGTGACTTCTTCATGTAATATCCGAGAAAAAACGAGATATCGAGCCTTTTTTTCGAGAATTTTACCGAGTCACCACGAGACAAGCTATCATAAAGTGCGAGCGAAAGCGAGTCGTGTCAACTGTATTGTTTGTGCGAACTGAACCATGCGGTTGAGTGGGCAGTGCCAATGATATCGGTCCCTACAATCTTTTGTTTTGATATCAGACCCATGGTATGTACATGTATTATCACTTAGCAAATATCATTACATGCAGTTGTGTTTATTTTTTAAATTTATTGCAGTGTCAGTAGTCAAAAGTTCAGTGTAAAGTACTGACATGTACAAATAAGGTATATCAGATTGCTTTAGAGGCGCCACAGTCCATCATGTCCTGCAGCAGCACTGGCATGCCTGTGAACAGCGACCACTGAGGCGCCTCGTTTAACAACCTATACCTATCTTCTAGGTTAAATTTTAATACTTTGTGAAAGTATAGAACATTTGTGGCCTTATGCAACAAACCTCATGAAAATTAATTAAGTCGAAAGATGTTTTTAAGTTGGCACAAAAGCGCTCAGTGGTCACAACTTTCTGGCTTAAATGGGAGGACACATTTGCCCTAATATAGGTATTTAAAAAAACTGTGATATTTCCTTTAATTTTAAAGATAATAATCAAAATTCCAAAAGTATAACATTCTGGATAAAAAGACCTATTAGAAGATATAACTTGTATTTATATATGGCATATTTTTTTTCTGAAATACCAATACAAGTGTACATGTACGTTAGAGGTCGCAAGCTTATGTAAACTGTTGCAAGTTCAAGAGGACAGACAAGTTTTAGTGAGTAGCTGGCCTAAGTATATTATTATTTATATTCTGCTATTATTATTGTTCTTTTAAGTTTTGTAATAGCTTACCGGTATTAATGAATTGATAGATTAACATGCAGTTATTATATATGTAAGTTTGTCATAAAAAAAAGGGAGAACATAGATGTTCAAGACCCGTTTAAGTATTTTTCAAGTAACAAGATAAGAATAAGTCTATTTCAAATTTTATTCTGTATATTTATTTTAACATCATTACCCTTAGTTATTGTTTCAGAACTAGTTTAACTATCATTGGATTAATAAAAGTTCAAGAAAACAGTCAATGTGTTTGTCAAGATATGCTTCAGTCATATTACTGGGCAAATAGAGAGAGTAAAGCACATTTCAAATAATTTATTTCATCTCACAGAACGGGCTACATACTATGCATGTGCATGGAGTTGATTATTTTAATTTAAAGAATTGCCATATCAAAGGCATAATGAGTAATTAAGCATCGTTTTAGTGTTAGAGTATACCATCAAAAAATCAGGTGATTTTGTTTACATTCACGGAATTCTGCAAGTTTGCAATACAAATATGACCCAGTTATGTAAATCTGATCAATCAATAATGATAAATAATGATTGATGATTAATAATTTTAAAACGTTGACATAATTCTCGTGTTCAGTTTTTCATTCTATGCCGTGCTTTGTTTATTTCCTGTTTAATGTCTGTAAATAATTTCATAAAGAAACTCAAACTAACAATAACATGTGATAGATAGTCTTTAAGAGTGAACAGTGATAAATGTAACACCTTCCCAGCAAGATTTGTGGGAGCGTTCAGAGTAAACTAACAATAACATGTGATACATAGTTTGTAAGAACGAACAGTGATAAATGTAACACCTTCCCCGCAAGGTATGTGGGAGCGTTCAGAGTAAACTTATTGTACCCGCAGGAGCCAAGCGCATACGAAACTTAATAACACCCTAGGTTCTCGAGGGGGGGGCGTGCCAAATAATAAAAGATGATTATATTGACAGAAATTTAGCAAGAATTCCTGCTGAGATAGATCGATGCTGCTGGTACGATAAGTTTATTCTGAACACTCCCTATGTCGTCAGGTTTTGTCACCAGACGAGCAGACGGAGAATTATGTCTATGACAGCACTCTATGCAGTGCACTCAACGTGTCAGACCTCAAGGCTTCAAAGGTTTTGTAGTTCAGAACGCATCGCTGTTTGGTATTGCTGCCCGGGATGTCAATCAAAGAAGCCATGCGATTAATCACCTTCATTTGGGCATGGGACCCCACAGCAACGACGCAAATGATTATCCCTGAAATAGGAATGCAGTTACTTCCATATCCAGATGAAACAGAAGGCAACTTTAAAATGGATAAATATTTGTAGACTGAACTTTCTCACAACTCCAGCGTTAAATTATGCTATTAAAGATAGCCTGGTCTTGAAGTGCTACTTCCTACCTTTTTTCTGCATGGCCTCTGCCTTCTCCACGGCATTCCCCCCAACTGTATGTAGGCCATCTGTGGTCACCCAAACCAGCCGTGAGCCGTTGACACCAAGCTCGTTTTCACACAGTAACAAACCCTTGTATGTATCTGTCAAATACCCTGTGAGTATAATGCAAATACAAAGCAGTGAAGTTGTCTTTATCTTCATAATACAGGTGATCACTCAGTATGTTTAAAACATATTACTAGTGCAAGAAATGTGGTAAGTATGCTTCAGTATTTGATAAAACATTTACATGATGAAATATGTATATCATTGTGTCTCTGTAAGCGTGTGTGGAAGTCTGTTTATATACGCATGTGTGTGTGCATATGTGTGTGTCTGTTTGTATATGTCTGCGCACACGCGCGTGTGTCCGTGCAAGATTGTCTTTAACTGTGTCTGCGTTTTGTGCGTCTCTCTACCTGTATATTAATGTCGCTCTGTGTGGCGTGTACTTGCAGCATGTATGTACGGTCGTGTGAGATAAGGATATAACGTAGTTAGCGTAGTGGTGATGGAGTTACACAGGTGTCGACCTTACCTACTTTAAGCACGTCACCAATAGCAATATCATTGTTCTTGAATAGCGGGTACGTTCCCAGGGAGAAGACCACCCTGGTGGGGATCGTGCTAGAGAAGCGGACCAGACCAATCCTGTGTTTCGTGGGGGCTATGCTTCTCGGCCCTGGGGTGTTGTCAATGATGGCAAGGATGTCCTGAAACAAGTTGTATTTGAATAAATATTTTAGTTGCGCGTTGCTTTTTTCGATGCAATTTTCACAATTCTAGTAACAAAAAGCCTAAGGTGTTCGTAAATATGAAGTATAATGAGCAATAGCTGTATTAACAAGAAAAGCACTCGGTCAGCGCAGACCTCCGCCAAGGAAACTGAATTCTCGTTTTATCTTAATTAAAAAATGAATAATCAATCCATAGATATAGAGTCAAATTATATGTGAGACAATACACTGTCACCCGAGAGATGCACACGATCTGGCAGAACAGGCGCCAGCAAGGCGTTCAAGGCGTATATATATCAAAAGAAGTTAGGGAACACCCGCCATTTAACCCTATGCATACCGAGTGGGGGTCGTTTACGACCCCATGGAATTTTCTGCCAGAGAAAATTTTAAATCCTAATTTATTAGTACCACCAGCATGTACGCTGACAGTACTCATGATTTTAGTCCCGGTGTAACGTAACAGAGAGTCCGCTTCCCATTTATTTGTACAAGTGAGCCTCGTCCGAGATTTTGGCCAACTCAGGTCAAACTAACCCTAACCATTATAACTATATGTAGGGTGGACTTTCTCTTACAAGGACCCTCAGTTTCGTTACAGGACTTATATTACTGGCAGACTTATATTCCTGTTACATGTTACATCTTACACCTTATATACCTGTTACTATGACAGTAATGTAAGTCCGGCCATTTGAAAGTCCTATACTTATGCATTAACACGGTTTAATGATACAATAAAAATTGTATATGAAAATCCTTCTGGTGAGCCATATATAAGACAAAAAATGGAGGGTTTGCAACTTCAGCTCGTCTGTGTAGTGGTTATCGTCCAAGACCATAAGACAAATATTCATTAATCGCCCTGTTACATACTTATATGGTTCGAGACCTACCTTTGACATGACCCCCCCCCCCCCCCCCCAGCTCGGATAACTTGTTGTAGCTAACTGTATAGTGGTGTTTTGAATGTGTAATATTCTAAATTCTGTGATAATTACACTAACAACAAAGGAATACTACAGAACATTATGTACAATTTCAAATTCTAAACTGTCATGATTTGTCTTAAATCCTCCATCCAAGAGAAAATTTCCATTGAGTTTGGGGTTATTTTTCAATTCCTGCGAGTGTAAGCCGAAAAGTTTATCTAAGAACGGAGACCCCGTGTTTTGTGTAAAGTGATTTCCCCTCATTTGAAGGCCGAAGAAGGTCAATGACACATGTAAGATATGCGTTTACTTCAAGAAAAATACACAAAATAAAATAAATGAAGAAAAACTATGGGAGCCGTGTTGTATTTGTTACTTCATTAAAATGCATATTAACTGCCTATCGAAAAAAGAAAACGTCGTAAAATATTAAAATAAAATAAAGTAAAGCAAACGTTTATTATTTATATAAATCTAGTATATCTATATATTTATTTATTCATGTCATTTCTCGGTGTAAACTATATTGGACATGCGATACTAAAATGTTAGGACGTGCATTTCTACACGTAGGACGGACTTGCATTACTTGGGAGCCGTCGGACATTGAATTCTAGTAACATATGCCCTAGGCCTTGCATTCCCGGGGAATTAGTGTCCAGGCGAACTTGCGTTACTAGGACGTGCACTCCTGCCACACCGGGGCTCCGTATCTCGAAAGGTTCGCTATGTTGCGCATGTGCGCAAGCGTCTCGATTCCATGGCCCCGTATCTCGAAATAGAATCGGTTATGGAATCGGGACACTTGCGCAACATAGCGAACCTTTCGAGATACGGAGCCCAGGTCCGCGTTCTGGAGCCGAATACAGGTCACCATTACCGATTCTCGTCCTAGACTGGGTTCCCATACTTAGATCGATCCATCTGGATCGACCTAACTCCCTGGGGAGTCTCCCTAAATTGCTATCAAATAACCGGCTTATATGTCTGTCATGCCTACCGAATCACTTGGGAGGTAAAGTTAATTACCCCTTAAAAGCTTTACTAGGCGTGACAGACATTTAAACCGGTCAAGTTGACAGCAATTTAGTTAGAGTCCCCAGAGAGATAGATCGATCCAAATATCTGTGGGAATGGTCTTCTAGACAGCAATGGCCTGTGTCCCCGTCTCTTGGATTTAGGTCACATGTAATCTTAACTTGAACCCTCTGTTATTTTGTCTCAGTTAGTGCCTCTCTGATTCTGTTTTTAGATGAATTTTTTTTTTTTTTTTTTTTTTTGAATGTGAAACAATTTTATCAGTTTTCAGGAGATATGTTTGCAGCTTTGGTATCGTTCATGGTTTTCTAATTAGGAACAAAAAAGATCTGGTGTTTTATGCACGTACGTACGGCTCAACAAGGTTTCGGCGATTAGGCCATGTTATACATAGCATTCTATTCCGTAAGATCACCTCAATTTATTTGATTAGAAAATAAGAAACAAATGCATAGCCATAAGAATGCAAAAAAAAAAATAATAATAATAAATAAATGAAAATAATAATAATAATAATAATAATAATAATAATAATAATAATAATAAAGAACTCAAAATATCTCATAGTGGAGGAGTTCCACAGGTGAGAGTGATATGAGTGCATCAAACTGATGATGAAGAAGAGGATCACAAAAAGGTACTAATGAATGACGCGGCACTGTTGAGCGCAATAGTTTGACGAAATCGACCGGGGGTAATATGTAGCACAAAAAGATACCAAAAATACCTGTGCAAATATATTTTTTTCGAGAAATGTGAAAGGATAACCTTTGATAGGTGATGCTATTTGAAACTGTATGGTGGCATTTGGTTAGGGTTAGTAGGAAAATAACATGGCAACTCGTTTCAAATGCATCTTGAATTCTGCCACTTTTCCGAAGACGAAAAACGCACTCAGCAATATTTATTTTTTCAAAATACGGGTTGTTTATGACAAATTTAATGATACAAAGATATTTAAATAATTATTATCTATTTCACATGCATGACACTTAATCTCAACTTGATTTTATTAGAAAAGGATGTTGCACAAATTGCGCTTTAAAGACTCCTAGCAAAATAAAACATTTATTATGTAATGAGTCGCTCCCAATGTCGCGTTTATGAAGAAAGTTAAGGTACCTCACCCTGGACGCTGATTTGGAATACCCCCGAATTATCCCCAAAGCCAGTATATCTCACCCTGGACGCTGATTTGGAAAGGGCGTCGATTTATCCCCAAAGCCAGTATATCTCACCCTGGACGCTGACTTGGAATACCCCCGAATTATCCCCAAAGCCAGTATATCTCACCCTGGACGCTGATTTGGAATCCCCCCCATTTATCCCCAAAGCCAGTATATCTCACCCTGGACGCTGATTTGGAATAATCCCAATCTTTGTCGCTAATGCTGCCACTGCTGTCCAAAGCGAAGCACACTTTCCAGAAGGGAGGAGAACTGCCCATCAGAGCCTTGATAATCTTGTCGGGTGTGAGAGGCTCTTGTCCCAAAACAGTGAAAACCATTCCGACAACAATAAGCAGTACCAGTGCAGCTGACTTCATCTTCAGTGACAGAAGGAACTTGGTCCGCGTGTAGACTATTGGAGAGGAATGACTTGTTTTTTAACAACGAAGAACGACGTCTAAACCGCTATTTATACAAAACACTAATTTGCACTTACTCACATAGACTTTACACAAATTACAGTTTATTTCCGCGTGTGAACCAATCGTTTTATTGGACTCCCGGTGTTAATTTTCAAGGTTAGATAATTTTGGTCCAAATATTTCAATTTGTAATGTTGATAGCAACATTACAGCAGTTTTCACCAGATAATTATCCCAGTATTCATCTACTACGTGAGAATCTACTCAGCTGAACACTGCTCCCGATGACACCTGTCACATAGATTAGTAGCAAGTCTGAGGTTATGCATTGCAATGAAATGCTTCGGTGTAGAAAGCAATGCATTCATTGATTATTTATCTGTGTGTGAAATGTGCGCCTGGTGATATATTTCCTATTAAAGCCGCTGGTACCTGGATGATAACAATCACAGGTGCAATGATGGTCTTTGTACCAAGACCAACTGTGGTTCACATGTAAAGTCTATTTTCTAAAAATCTATTTTCTATTCGCGGTATATCTTATGATCACGGTCTGTGCCCTGAATATCCCGCGGCGTAATTACTGGCAGCGCAAGCCAGTTACTTCCAAAGCTGTAATTAATTCGTGGCTGTGCTCGGATGAGATTCTGATACCTTGACGCATGCGCAGTAGGAAGTTAGATAGTTAATTGCGGTCGCGGTTGCTTTGAAAAATGTGTTTGTCGATTTTGTGCAACAACAAGACGAAGAAGATGAAGAAGCTATACACACGACAGATACGAGTGCAACCGTCATTGATCCGATGGCAAGCGATGCGGCAACGGAGAATTAGATTTTATAGAATGCAAGCACAGCCGAGAATAAATTACAGCTTTGTATAAGTAACTGGCTCGCGCTGCCAGTAATTACTCCGCGGGATATTCAGGGCATAGACCGTGATCATAAGATACCGCGAATAGAAAATAGATTTTTAGAAAATAGACTTTCCATGTGAACGAAGCCCTAACTTCATAGCTCTTCATACAAATATTCATTTCAAAGTACATCCTTGAAGTGACTGCGGCAACTTTAACTTGATAGCTCTTCATACAAATATTCATTTCACAGTACATCCTTGAAGTGACTGCGGCAACTTAACTTCATAGCTCTTCGTACAAGTTGCGTTAGTTATAGTGGGTTGTAACAGTATACGCAATATTCTAATAATTGAAAATTTCCAAAACGTATGCCGAACAATGTAGGCCTAACAGCACTGTCCGTAAGACAGTTGATTATTTTGAGATCAGACTAGCATATGTATATGAATTAGAATAAAAACTATATAATTGTAGACAGATTCACAAAATCAAAATGATAATCATAGGCCCTACCACTCCATAAATAACATCCACCCACCCACATCCGTATAATAATCATAAGTAAAATCCTCGTAGCTATTTAATATCTATGGAACTCTAAGTTCCAAAATCACCAGAGATGAATTTTACGACGTTCAAACCACGTGCATTTACCCGTACAGTACACAGAAGTTAGCCAATTTTCTACTTATTTACCAGCTTCGCTGACTACTTTATCTACTTCTTCATTTAATGTTATAGATAAGACGTCTTTCTGTTATGAAAACCGGGCTATGAATCAACAAAGTATAGGATAACTTTAGATTACGCGGTAATCGAATGAGGTCACTTCGCCGAAAAGATAAAGTTTCACTAACCATCATGCTTATCGTGCCAAAATAGGCAAATGAATCTTGAATGTTTCTCCCACTAGCTGGCAGTGAACTGTTCTACAGTTAGAGAGGAAAACACGCTTGGAGATTAACTCGTGTTTTGGCTTTTAATACCAAAACTGTCTGGAACAAATGGACTTTATGCTACATGGATTTTAAACGTTTCAATCAATGCGTTGCAAGTCATAGGAAATCAACACAATCTCACTGTATCACAGCTGGCTATACACAGACATGGTTCAAGGACTGATGAGGAGATGACACTGTACCACAGCCATAGCTGTAGATGTCCAGTCCTGAGGAGGAGACAGAAAGCCACTTGTATCCCTTGTAATCGCTGGTCTTTGAGACAGAAAGCCACTTGTATCCTTTGTGAACGCTGGGCTTTGAGACAGAAAGCCACTTGTATCCTTTGTGAACGCTGGAGCTTTTAACCGGAAACCCGCTTATATCCTTTTATCATGCACCAAAAACCTGAATTAATATTGCCGAAACCTTAATTAGCATGGCCAATGACTTGTTCCGATTATTTCGGGCACTTGAAATTTCTATGTGTTACGTTTATTTTCCAGAATCTACAAGCACGACACTTACAAAGGTGAAGACAACTACTATTATTTCCGACAAAACGCATCATTTGGAGCAAACAACAGCTCCTTATGTGTCAACCAGTGACAACAGAATCGACTGCGGTGCAAATGCCATAATGGTTGCCATTGCGCGCGATGTCGTTGGCCCATTGGGAGGTGACATTAACCTTGTCGCCCATCTCCGAGACCCACAATGTACCGGGAAGGACAATTCAAGCCACATCTTGTTCACCTTCAGCCCCGACACGTGCGGCACTTCAGCTCGGTTGACCAAAGATTTTGTTGTGTACGAAAATGATATTTTTATCAAGAGCAGCTCCATTGCCCAGCAACAGGTGTCCGTGTCCTTTGAAAATTACGTCAACACGGTGCCCGTGGTGTGCAAATATGACCGCAAGGAACTCCTGTCCATCTCTTACAAGCCACATTTCCGAACGCTGAATGTTCTGGAGCATGGGTTTGGTAAGCTTTTTTTATGATTTACAACTTTTGACCAGTTGTGCAGTTTTGTTATTGAAAAATGTGATCATTGAACTGATAAATATACCCATCCGGGGATAAATGCGTCTTCGGTCCAAAGGTGGCTATGAGCCCTTATAATTACAACTAATCACCTTCATTGAACTAATAAATATACCCATCCAGGGATAAGTGCGTCTTCGGTCCATAGGTGGCTATGAGCCTTATGATTGGAAATTAAATGTGACTTACCTGTAAGTTGAAGTTTGATTTAGATTCTACCGGTTTTCCTTTCATGTACGTCTGCCATATTTAGGTCGCGGGAACAAGGGTGGGCATGTAACTCTTCCGTTCCTGACTGATGTTCGGTAGAATCTAAATTAAACTTCAACTTACAGGTAATTAAGTCTCGTTTAATTTGCAATTCTACCTCACACGTCAGTCACTCAGGAATAACATGAGACTTTTAAGCCTGAGGCAATGAAAGCCCAGAAAAGGAAACACCTACGTAGAAACACATAGGTTCAGTAATAGCATTTAATGAACAGAATAAACCTGATCAAGTCAAAACTAATGTATCTAAGATGTAAGAATAAACTCGCCATAAGATACCGACACTGAAAACTGTCTCTAATTCGGGAACCGTTAATGCTAGAGACCTATTCTTTTTTTGCATTTTGTAGAGCATGCAAAGCCCAACACTGAGAGTGGTCTCCGTTTTTTTATTTCCATACGGTTTATGAATTATGCTGTATCAAAAAGTACATTGTGGTGGTGAAAGCAAAATGTGCGATACGGTAATATATAATACATTTTGAACCTCTGGAAAAAATAACATAAGGCTCGGCGAGGCAGACAACTTCTGGTCAAAAATGACATTATTTCATGAAATTTGAACATCTGGAACTTCTGAGCACCTCCAGTTTCAAGAATTTCAACCAAAATGACCTTTTCTTTATTTCAATTAATTTCTTTTGTAGCAAACTTAGGGCACATTATTGTAATTTCAAAACTGTAACATTTAGTCCCTTATATCTCCAAAACTGGCAAAGAACGCCCATAGTTACTATTGAGCTTGAACAGGAAGTCATATGCTGGCAATCTAACTGTGACCTTAAAATTGACCTTTGACCTACTTTTCACCATAAACTGAACTTTGCAACTTTTTTATGCTTATACTTTCAAAAATGGCAAAGACACGTCCATAGTTACTATGGAATTTGAATAGGAAGTCATAGGAGGCAATTTAACTGTGACCTTTGACCTACTTTTCACCATTAACTGAACTTTGCAAATTTTCGTCCCCTTTTATCTCCAAAACTGGCAGAGATACGCCCATAGTTACTATTGAACTCGAATAGGAAGTCATATACTGGCAATCTAACTGGGACCTGAAAATTGACCTCTGACCTACTTTTCACCATAAACTGAACTTTGCAACTTTTTTAATGCTTATACCTTTAAAACTGGCAGAGATAAGCCCATAGTTACTATTGAACTTGAATAGGAAGTCATATACTGGCAATATAACTGTGACCCTGAAATTGACCTTTGACGTAATTTTCACCATGAACTGAATTTTGCAAATTTTCTTTCCCTTATATCTCAAAAACTGGCAAAGAAATGCCCATGGTTACTATTGAACTTGAATAGGAAGTCATATACTGTGACATTGAAATTGACCTTTGACCTATTGTCTTGTCTAGAAAATCACAGGAGTGATCAATGTTAGGAAAATACAGGTCAAGTTGAAAATCTGCTTGATTGTACCATTTTTAGTTATATATATTTGCATATTTTGAGAACTCTTGATGATTGTATTTTATAGAGCTTGTCAAGCACAAGACTGGTGGTGGTGTCCCTTTTTTTTTTTTGGGGGGGGGCTAATACAAATGCGCTTACTCCAGCTGGTGGTACAATTTCCGGAGACGGTATCGCCTCTCTGATCCTCTAGTTTACACTTAATAATAACTGTTCGTTAGCATTGCGGATACTAGAAGATTTGTCTATGTACAGTTTTAAATGTTCAATAATACGAAGGTCCTTAATTGCATATTTTTTTCAACTGAATTAATGCTAAATGTTTCCCAGGTTTGCTAGTTTTCAGTGGTTGTGTCAAAAATGCAACCATCCTCAGTAAATGCAAAGAGGGAGTTGGACGCTTTTAAAGCCTGAAGGGTCTGAAGACGTTGTCCTGTGAGTAAAGCCAGTAACATTGTAATAAGCCAGTGACTTGAAAGTTATGTTATCAGTTGGTATATTTTTAAGTAATCTAACACAACTTTAACGTCCCTGGCTGTAGCGTGTTGATAGACTCCTTTAATTAGCCTGCAGATATCCGGGTGGTCACTAATTGGTATGTTTTCAACCTTTCCAATTAATGCTGACAGAGCACTCCTAGCAGTATTTATAGCACTATAGCCCAGACCTTGTTCATAAAGGTAAGCTAGGAAATCTAATATCTCCCCAATAAGCGGTGCATGGGGATTGACATTCGTTGATGGCAAAATTTTCTCCACTTGGACAAGTAAGTGCTGTATTGTTTCGCTGTGGACTTTCTCCAGCTGGATAACATGAGTTTTTAAACATGTTCTGAAAAGCCTTTCTTTTCAAGAGATTCCCGGAGCAGTGACATACCAGCAGACTACCCTCTACCAGGGCGACTGATAGATTTTTACAGATATTCACAGATATGTCTCTAGCTAGATAGATGGTCATTTTGGGCTGAAGTCACCCTGTTGAGGAATCTCAAGACTGATTACATGGCTGGTAATTGTTTGCATAACTGCTCAGGCACTGCCACTTAGCAGGTCCAGTCTAAGTCTGCTTGACAGCAATCAAGACAGTTAATTGCTCTGACTTCTATCACTTGCTCTTCTGTGACAGATAAAAAAAGCCATAGACTGGTTGCGTAACGAGCAGCTATCACATCGTTGTGAAGCTCAGCTCATGCAGAGCAAGTACAAAGCCTTTGGCGTGCGTACAGAGATAATTGTTTCCACATGGGATTCCTCAACAGGGTGACTTCAACTCAAAATGACCATCTATCTAGCTAGAGACATATCTGTGAATATCTGTAAAAATCTATCAGTCGCCCTGGTAGAGGGTACCAGCAGACTAAGTTTTTGGAGCAGTGTGTGCACTGCCTCTATTTGTCCAGGCATTAACAACATTTTCTTGTTTTGGAATGACAACAGGAGTGTCTATTTATAACCTCAGCAGACTCGGGAACCAGGTCTGGGTTGTCCAATACGGTACAATTAGGATCCCTGTTGCTTGATTGTCCTCGATCTGTTGTAAAACTTGAGGCAATAGACTAAAACAAGGAAAAGCGTAAAAGTTTAATCTCTGCCAGCTTTGACTGAAGGCATCAACAAACAAAGCATTAGGTTGTGGTTTCCACGAAACAATTTGGAAGTTGTTTATTAAGCCTTGATGCAAAAAGGTCAGCTATAAACATGCTTTCAATGGTATTATAACACTTGAACAAAGTACTACAAAAGGGAGTCAGGGATTTTTCTTTAGAGACTTATTGTTGATTTTATCTATAAAAACGTGAAATTACGTCCAGCCGAATCCCACGAATATTCGTAACACTATCGCACCTGTGTCGTAACTGAATCGTAGAGCGTGTCGAATTAGGCCAGAAAATTTGCAAAATCTCACGAATCCTCACGAATCCTTAAATTTGTCAATTCCTGGCGATTCGTGGGATTCGTGGTCTGTCTTAAATAGGGGCATTACAGGACGCTGATCGGACCATCAAAAACAAGAAATAGATGCAACCAGAAAGGCTTTGTTAGAGGAAATGTCCAAAGTTGGGTGAGTCAGGAAAAGTTCAAGGGAGAACGCGTATTTCAAGCAAATCCAATGTGTCGGAAAAGATTATCCTAATGCCTCTATTTCACACAGACCACGAATCCCACGAATGGCCATGAATTGACAAATTTCACAATTCGTGGTTGAATCCTAATCAGTTCGTGAAGTTCTAAACAGATTCGTATATATTCGTAGTCAGTTCTTGCACTTCTTGACCAACAGGAATTGGTGGCAAAAAATTTGATTCCCCTATTTCACACAGACCACGAATCCCACGAATCGCCAGGAATTGAAAATTTCAGGATTCGTGGTTGAATCGTAATCAGTTCGTGAAGTTCTTAACAGATTCGTATATAATCGTAGTCAGTTCTTGCAATTCTTGATCAATCGGGAATTCTTGGCAAAAATTTGGAGCTGTTCAAAGTTTTGGCCACGAACTCCCGATTCCAAAAAATCGTAGTGAATTTCTGGACAATATTCGTGCGATTCCAGCCGAATCCCACGAATATTCGTACCACTATCGCACCTGTATCGTAACTTAATCGTGAGCGTGTCGAATTAGACCAGAAAATTGGCAAAATCTCACAAATCCTGAAATTTGTCAATTCCTGGCGATTTGTGGGATTCGTGGTCTGTGTGAAATAGGGGCCTTAGCGCTGATCATAATCAAGAGCAACTATCAAAACTTCTTAAGCGGAACAATAGGCAATGTTTTGCCGATCGCTTTTTATGACCAAGGGGGTATGGCGCATCCCTGCTCTATTGTTTCTCTAGTCGTGCTGATGCTGCTAAGGTCTGCCCACCGAGTTTACCCATGCCAACGGCCCTTGACAACGAAGGCGGGGCATAGACCAGGCCACCGGTGCCGATGTGTGCAGCATCAAAATCCTCAGAAAAAAACATATTTCTTGTTCAAAATGTAAAAATCTTATTCTGTTAAACGTTAGATACACATTTAACCAATAATTAGACATAAAAAAACCCAAAATGACGATTTTTAGCCATATTTGGGTACATTGCCACCTTAACCAGATTTTTCTGCTCATTACCCATTGCCAAATTTCACGGGCTATTAAAATGGCATTCAAGGGAATGATTTCCACCATTTTTCTCACATAGGCCACCGCAGTGCTGTTGTCCATCATTAATTTAATGTGAACATTTTCCATATGTTTACAAGTGGCTTGTAGTGAAAGAAAGCAAGCCAACAATTCCAGTTTGTTTATATGTCCAGTTTCAAATGATCAGAAGGGCCCCCCAGTTGACATGCCAGATTAAACGTGATGACAGCCGCATCCTTTGTCACTGGCATCAGTTTCCAGTGTGCAGTGAGGCGGAGGTCTGTTAATTGGCTTTTGTGACTGGTGTATATTTTCACACCACCTTTTCAGATCTTTAACTGATCTAACTGACAAGTGCATTAATGCATCATAGTCACCTCGAGCATTTTGAAGAGCTGCCGCCTTCTCTAACTCCAGCTGTCTGTAGAACAGAGGTCCCGTAGGGTGCATTCCCAAAGATTTTAGATCGATCTATCCCCGTGGGGAGTCTCACTAGATTACTGTCAGATAATCCGGCTTAAATGTCCGTTCCGGCTACTACAAGCTGTAAGGGGGTAATTAACTTTCGTGCCCGCTCGGCTGACAGCTATTTAGCGTGAACCCCCAGGAAGTTAGGTCGATCTAGTTGGATCGATCTAAACTCTGGGAATGGGGTCATAGACACTGCATTAAAACAGGAAACCATGAGCCCCACTGCCTGTGCAACTTCCCTGATACTAGGTGACTTATTGTTTAGCAAAGCTGTCCAAACTTTGCACATTTTGTCAGCTTTCTCGGTAGTTAGTGAGATAGACATGGATGTGGAATCCAAAGTAAATCCAACAAAATTAATGTGATTTTTTGGAAAAAAAATACAGATTTCTCAGGGTGCACAATAAATCCTAATTTATGTTTAGTGTACATTAAATGTTATCCAGGCACTCCTCAAAAGTGTCTCCGTGTAAATATGAGTCATTAATATACCCAACTGAGAGAAATCCTCTCTTTCTAATTCTGAATAAACAACTTGACACTCTTGGTACACATGCAAGACCTTGTGCCGCAGTAAGAAATTTCATCAATTTGCCTCTCCAGAAAAATTTAAAGTATTTTTGATGTTCTTCTGCAATTTTAAGAGAATAGTAAGCATCTTTGAGATCAATAGATCCCATAAAACAGTGAGTCCGTATCATTCTAATTGCAGTAATGAGTGTACATGTGTCCTATTTGAAATGTCGGTATTTAACATACTTGTTGAGATGACTTAAATTCAGAATCATTCTATAACTATTTCCATATCTTTCTTTTTCCCGAGAAATATATTAGAAATAAATTCTCCAGGTTCATGTTGAATTTCTGCAATCACCCTCTTTTTTAACTAAGTGTCAATTTCACTGTCAATAACTTCAATTTCAGCATCAGTGAATTTTATAGGTTTTGGAACCAACTTTTGCACTGGTAATTCCTCAAATTCTATTTTATATCCGGAAACCATATTAAGGATTTCTCTGTCTTAGGTAATTATTCGCCATTCACCAACAAATTGTGAAAGTTGACCACCTGTGAAATGTTTACTTCTCTCAGTTAGGTAATGATGCGAGGACTTTAACTTATCTTCAGTATCAGCAAACAGCGCAGAGTTAAAAAGATGTCTCACCTCAGAATCAGGGGGCCCAGGAGCATTTAGTGTTTCTCCTCTCCCTTCTTTTTCTTTGGATAGTATTTGTATTTCCCCACTTGTCTCCGCCCCTTGTAGGGGCCGTAGCCTTTTTTTTTTTTAACTTGGTAAGTTGATGTTTCTATTTAGCCAACCTCATGTCTTGTGGCAAATTGTCACCAAACAAGTGTTGTGATGGAGCATGATTGTCTTCGCACAGAGTGACATACTCCTTATTAACTGCTGGTTTAAGGGACTGTTTCCTCCTCATACACAGCTCCAAATGTGCTGATCCCAGTTGCTGGTTTTAGGGACTGTTTCCTCCTCATACACAGCTCCAAATGTGCTGACCCCAGCTGCTGGTTTTAGGGACTGTTTCCTCCTCATATACAGCTCAAAATGACCTGATCCCAGCTGCTGGTTTAAGGGACTGTTTCCTCCTCATACACAGCTCCAAATGTGCTGATCCCAGCTGCTGGTTTAAGGGACTGTTTCCTCCTCATACACAGCTCCAAATGTGCTGATTCCAGCTGCTTGTTTAAGGGACTGTTTCCTCCTCATACACAGCTCCAAATGTGCTGATTCCAGCTGCTTGTTTAAGGGACTGTTTCCTCCTCATACACGGCTCCAAATGTGCTGATCCCAGCTATGGTTTAAGGGACTGTTTCCTCCTCATACACGGCTGCAAATGGGCTGATCCCAGCTGCTGGTTTAAGGGACTGTTTCCTCCTCATACACAGCTCCAAATGAGCTGATCCCAGCTGCTGGTTTAAGGGACTGTTTCCTCCTCATACACGGCTCCAAATGTGCTGATCCCAGCTGCTGGTTTAAGGGACTGTTTCCTCCTCATACACAGCTCCAAATGTGCTGATTCCAGCTGCTGGTTTAAGGGACTGTTTCCTCCTCATACGAGTCATACACGGCTACAAATGTGCTGATCCCAGCAAGGCAATGCCGTCACAGGCATCTTTGGCCGTTTTCCTGTCATTTTTATCCAGGAGTTTATCAGCTACACTTGCGAAGATGCCACACGCTTTGACGATAGCCCTCTGGATGTCACACATCCTGGCATCCTTCGCCTTCAACTCTTTACTGGCATTACTCCAGATTTGTTTGTACACCAATGGGACCAACATGGCATCACAATTTTTTGGTCGTAAGTGATGCTCATACAGTTTCTTGGTTAAATCTTTTGACAGAGGTTTGTGATTTTTTTTTGTTAATAATGCTAGCTAATTTTTTCCCTGATTTCAGGGCCCCGAGCCTCATCGTCATCGAGGTCTTCATCAATGATATCTAAAAAAGAGTCTACTTTTTCATTAGACTCTGTTTTGCTAGCTTTTTCAAACAAGTCCTCTGCATCGCAGTCGTCCTCATCCGAGTCTGACGACAATGCGTCATGACTCCGCTTCTTACTGTTACTGCCAGGGTGGGCAGTCTGAGGGGCCTTAACCGCACCTTTGGTTAAAACAGGTTTTCTTTGCATTCTCAAACAAACAAGTATCCCCAGTATTTAAACAACATGTTTAATTCCTGGGTTGATAAACTTACACTTAGTGTGAGTTGACGTTTTTTTTCTTGACAGGTCATATGGCGTTCAGTCTACTACGTAGATAACAGGTTTAATTCCTGGGTTGATACATTTACACTTAGTGTGAGTTGACGTTTTTTTTCTTGACAGGTCATATGGCGTTCAGTCTGCTACGTAGATAACAGGTTTAATTCCTGGGTTGATACATTTACACTTAGTGTGAGTTCACGTTTTTTTTCTTGACAGGTCATATGGCGTTCAGTCTACTATGTAGATAACAGAATAAATTCCTGTGTTGACACATTTACACTTAGTGTGAGTTGACGTTTTTTTTTTTCTCTGGACAGGTCATCTGACGTTTAGTCTGGAGCAGTACCATGGCGTCCAGTTTAAAGTACCGTACCAGCCGGACGACTACCCGCTGTCCGTGGACCTGAAGGACCAGATATACATCCGTCTGGGCGTGAGGCTGGCTGCAGCTAACATGTCCGGCATGGCGCTGAGGGCAGACAGTTGTAAAGCAACAAGTTCTCTAAGTCCGTTTTCATCTGAAGCCGTGAAACTTATTGACAACGGGTAACACTTGAAAAATATCGCATGCTTTTGACTTGCAAGGCATTTTTACTGAGACCATTAAGCATACAGATGCCATAGACGTCATTATTGAAAGCTTAAAAAGCGACCTGATACCTTAAAGGGATAATAACTCTTCGTATGATATCTTTATTTCACAATAAAAACATTGTGAACAACTCATAGAAATATAATATATTCTGTTTTACCTCAAAAACAGCAGTTATAGCTATTATTCTGATATCTGAGCTTGTCTTCAGATCACGTGACTTCCATTGATGGCTGTACTCTGTTATAATCTCTTAAGAGATTTTAACAAAAAACCAAACTTTTTAGAAAAAAAAAACCAGGAACTAACTGTGAATGTAAAAATGGATTCATTAACCATTGATAAGTATTGGAAAATTGTTGTTTACTCCAGGAAAATTCCTTTTTTGGCCAAAACAAAGACTTATTATCCCTTTAATTTTAGCTATAACGGTTGAACTATAATCCAGATGAACCGTAGTTATCGATACAAATGCTCTATTTCTCGGTATAAGAGACTGATACTTCTTGAAATGGGTGGTTCAGTGGCCAGGCTTTCATTATTTCAGCTATAATACACAGGTAGTTATAAGACAAAACCGATCAACAGAAACCGTTTTGTAATATTGGATGCACGGCTCAGCCGTTGTTTCAGTGTTATTTTCAATTGATTTATGTGGAGATATATAGTATTAATATTATTTATATGCGTATGTGCAATTGTGGGAAATATGCTCTGTGCAGTTACTTCCCAGCGGGCAAATTATGTTTTTTTAACGTTGAAACAACGTTGAACCATAACGCTGAGAAGACATTGGATAAACGTTGGATTTAAAAGTTGTCCCAACCTCAGATAACAGAGAGCTTTCGCACCTGCACGTGCACGTTTAGGCGACCGACTACATTTAGCTATCCGTAACCGTAAAATGACCAACGTTTATTTTTTTCGTGATTTCGCAGAAAGACCCGGTTAGCCTTTACGGATAGTCGAATCGAACAGTAGGCTGATACATGTTTCACATGCTGTAAAGCCTCGGTCACAACCGGACGCACAAATTTCAGGATCGTAGGTCCCCTGCGATTTTTGGGTGTTGCGGAGGCCGTGAAGGTCGTAGAGGTAGAGGAAAGTCTGCCTTGCGAGTCGCAAGGCCCCATGAGATGTCCTTTCAGGCAGGGACGCTAATTGTAAGGAGCGATGGTCGTGGAAATTGTACTCTTATTTTGAGTTTGTCTTGCTTCCTGTGTACGTGGCACACACTCACCACTTACGAAGGGAATGCAACGCGAGGCGAAAGAAGTGCCCTTTTGCGTGAGTTTTGCTTCACATTTGCCTCACACGTTTGTGGTGACGTACTGACGGCGTTCGTCAGTTTTGCTTCCTGTTCTTCTCTTCTTTCTTCTTCCTCCTCTCTTTTTTCTACTATGTAATTTTCTTTCTCTTGCCTTTTGGAGGCATATTAGATACAAAATTGAGCAAGAAATTGAAATTTTTGAAAATTGCTGTACACGTTACATAGTCGATGTTCATGTAAAGACACAAGCGTTCGTCGTGAGCACGCCTTTTATACACCAGGCGTGGGGTGACGCACGTGCGACGTATTCCCGGTGTGCTCTCGACTTTGTTCGTTAGTTGTGAGGGCGTGCGCCTTACTCAACACGCAATGGGCACTTGCTCCTTCATTGTTTGCGACGTGCGTCTTGCACAACGTGCGTCTCTCTTGCTAACTCCGTGCGAGGGGAGCAAGTTACGCTTGCGGCCTGACTGTTCGCAGGCTATTCGTAGAAAATTTTGAACATGTCCAACATCCTCCGTACGTGCTTACGAGCTGTCTGCGAACTCGAAATTGCGTAAGAAGGCCTTGATTGGGACGTGAGATTCTGCGCAAATTTTGGACGCAAACAGCCCGTAAGAGCCCGTGCGGCCAGTTGTGACCGAGACTTAGGCCTATGCAGAGACGTCAAATTAGGTCATACGCCATTGGAGATCCGGCTTACCCCGTTAAAAGGTATCTTTTGAGTCCCTTCAGAGGAGCAAATTTAAGTACCGAAGAAGAAGAATTCAACAGGAGAATGTCCTCTGTGCGGGAATGCGTCGAGTGGGAGTTCGGAAACTTATTGTGAAACTTTGCCTTTCTGGACTTTTGAAAGAATTAAAAAGTTCTGTTGTCTCCTGTAGCCAAGCAGTACTTGGTAGGTGGTCTTCTGGTCAACTGCCATACCTGTGTGTAGGGCAATCAGATGAGTCGGAACTTTAAACTAGATCCTCCCACCTTGGAGGACTATTTAGCATGAACTGTACACGTGTACATTGTGCGTATGGGAAATTAAAGAGTAAAACGTAAAATTCATACCGCAAGCAAACATTTATTTAAATGTAATCTTGAATAAAAAACTAATGTTTTAACAAAGATTCAGCCCACGTGTATCTTGTAGGCAGCAAGAGCCTAGTATGTCAATTCAGCTTTTCTTCTTAACCAAAGATTATGCGTAACCATCTCCATCATTTGTTTGTCTTTCTCAAATTGAGCTTCTCGCTCTTTCATTTCTAATTCAAAACGTTCTTTCTCGAAGGCCAACTTGTCTTTCAGGTAACTGACGTAATCTGCTGGTGAATCAGTACGGCGCTTCTTAGTTGCCTGCATGTTTTCGCATTTTTTAGCTGAAAAATGCAGCGTCAGTTTTTGTTACTGATATAATAAATATTAATCGATATTTGCTATTAGCAACAATTTCATGTAAAGAAAAATGTGCCGTCTTTACTTTTATTTATAATTCATTTATTCAAATACACACAACAGGACGCCATGTGACTTTCTAAACAAGGCTTCATAAAATTTGCATTAAAAGTCAAGGAGACGCCCTGTCAACTAAAGGAGAAAATCGAGCTACTAATGTGCTGTCCTTACTTTTATTTATAATTCATTTATTCAAATACACAAAACAGGACGCCATGTGACTTTCTAAACAAGGCTTCATAAAATTTGCAATAAAAGTCAAGGAGACGCCCTGTCAACTGAAGGAGAAAATCGAGCTACTAGTAGTATCTTACTAAACGGCACTTACCTTACGGATATCCTGCTTGTTATGCGTCAAGTGCAGACGCCTAGTCTACAGACCACTTATAAAGGCATGTGCACTCGTAACAACTGCTCACAAAATGATGACCTAACAGTCTTATAATACAATCAGTCACGCTTGCGGAAGGCCACTTCTGACTGCCTTGTGGTCAGTGGAAAATGCCTTTTTTGCGGGTATAACCTATATTTCAATAGTAACAAAAACATAGACACAAATAACAGAGACAACATGTTTGACATATATTGCAAAAATAAAATGTCCAATATGATTTTAGCAGAGAAACGATCAACTTTGAAAGGCTTGATTTCATAAAATTATGCTGATTTGTCAAACCGTTTTTCATTGACGGGTAGCAATCTAGCTGCGGATAATGTTCTCTCTAACCGTATGTGTACACGTCACTAGACAGCAAAATATTATGACCTAAACGTAGTCGTTCGCCTAAACGTACTGGTGCGAAAGCTCTCTAACAACGTTGTATCAACGTCAGAAAACAATGTTATATGAACCCCACCCAGCGGGAAATTAGCCTGGATGTGTTTAGCAGTAGGACATGATTATATATATATATATATATATATATATATATAACAAAGTCACAGTCACCTCAACTTGTCTATCTATAACAGGTTACCAAGAACTGTAAACTCCATCACATTTACAGCAACTTATTCATCCTAGTGTTAGCTGACCTTGCAGGGAATTCAGTTAATTGGAATGTATTTCTGAATAACAAGTTAGGAAAATTCACTAGTTAACTAAAGACACAAAACAACTGTCATTTTTACTTTAAAACAATTTTGTTATTATTTTGATAAATTTAGTTACAGTATTGATAAACAAAGTATCACGTTTTTAATAATTAATATTTTAAATTACAATCCATAACTGCAAGGTTGTGTCATTAACCAAAATACAACATTGAGTCAACGTCACATTATGACGGTGTTTCGACGTGGCTGGATCAACGTTGATTTTACTTGAATTTAGGTAGATCAACGGCAATTCAACGTATCAACCTGTTTTCAACGTTGATCCAACGCGACTATGCCTGCTGGGTTTGTTTTATGCCATACTACCAGTCATAGCGTTTTTCGTGCCTGCATATCAATTGCTTCAATGTGATTTCTTAATTTATTTACTATTGTTGTTGTTGATCTCTCTACTGTCATACATCATACCCTGGATATGGGATTTTGTTTTTTGCATTGAGTTACCATAAGACCGCTACGCGGCTCTGAGCTTTGGGGAATTGTTTTTGGTTTTAGTTTAGTGTAGTGTAATTGAATAATCAACCAATAAACTTTTCTAAGCCCGCGTTGTGTGTTTGTGTTTAAGTGGAGATAAACGTTTGTTAATCTGATTTAAACGCATCACACAATGCCAGCTGCCTAGTAAGTCACGTTAACATAACGATGACACTGTGGCCGGTGCCGTTAACTAGCTCTCCCTGTGGCTTTACACAGTTAAATCCGTCATGTTTTACAGTGTGCATGAAACAGTTATTTGATGTAGCACACGTGTGCACACTACAAATCTTATTCCATCTCCAAATCACGTGTCTCACGACTTGTACATTCCAGTTGCCCCGCTATGAAGGAGTTGACCATGTATCCTAGCAACGACCCCACTGAAGTATTATTTGGATTTCCAGCGTTCTACTTTGTACGTGATATACAACAGGTAAGTCCCAGGGATAAAGAGCAGTCTGTCCTCGGCGGCACTGTGACAACTTTCTTTACCTCTCACGTAGAGCTACTGTTGTATATAGACACGAGCGGTGTGTTAATTAAAACGTGTGTAGCAGGATGCCGATGTCATAATCATCTAGCAAATATATGCCCATGTAAATTATAACCAAAGTATAATAAAAGCCAGAACTATGACCTACAAGTCCACGATCTCTCAGTGATGTAAAGATCGATGTCCAATATTACAATTGACGGCCGAATCTTCGACCTTTTAATTCTCATTATGTACAGTACCCCCTGCAGATCACAACTTTCTCTCCTGTCACCCCATCTGTAGGTGTACCTCCACTGTGAGATGCAGGTCTGTATGCAGAGTGATCCCACTTGTTCCTCGAGCTGTCAGACTCCCGCCAGAGGGCGCAGAGATGTGAGTGGTGCCTTCTCCTCTACCTATATCGTCACACAGGGACCCTTCCAGCCTAAGCGAGGTAAGCATTCACCCCTCAATCATCTTAACAACTTAAATACAAGACCTTGGGAATCGGAAATGTGCAGGAGTAAGCGGCTTGTGTCTGTGAAAAGATAATCCACATTTAAACGAAATACTTTGTCCTCAGATAAATATAAGTTTTGAAACGAAGGGATCGTCTAAAGACATTATACATGTAAGTTGAATCTTTTTACTTTAACCACATATCCTAGTGTATGCATTGCATACCCTGTTACTTTTTCCTAAATCCTAAAGTAAAATTGTATACTTTGTCACCTTTTCCCTAGATCCTAAAGTAAAATTGTATAATTTGTTATTTTTCCCTAGATCCTAAAGTAAAACTGTATGCTTTGTCACCTTTTCCTAAGATCCTAAAGTAAAATTATATAATTTGTTACCTTTTCCCTAGATCCTAAAGTAAAAATGTATGCTTTGTCACATTTTCCCTGGATCCTTAATTAAAATTGTATAATTTGTCACCTTTTCCCTAGATCGTAAAGTAAAATTATATAATTTGTTACCTTTTCCCTAGATCCTAAAGTAAAATTATATACTTTGTTACATTTTCCCTAGATCCTAAAGTAAAATTGTATAATTTGTTACCTTTTCCCTAGATCCTAAAGTAAAATTATATACTTTGTTACATTTCCCTAGATCCTAAAGTAAAATTGTATAATTTGTTACCTTTTCCCTAGATCCTAAAGTAAAATTATATACTTTGTTACATTTTCCCTAGATCCTAAAGTAAAATTGTATACTTTGTTACCTTTTCCCTAGATCCTAAAGTAAAATTATATAATTTGTCATCTTTTCCCTAGATCCTAAAGTAAACTTGTATAATTTGTTATCTTTTCCCTAGATTCTAAAGCAAAGGCTGCGTACGTTGTTGCCGGGTGCAGCATTGCCGCAGCACTCACAGCCATCACTGTAGCTATTATCACTGTGACACGAAGCAGACGGGAGACACGTGGTTACCAGGAGGTAGCGACATCTGAGGGCGATATGTAGAGTAACCGTGATAAAATGACTTAACATTAACATGAAAACAACCCCGACGTCCATCTTTGGACATTTAATTCTAATTTAGAAAAAGGGGCCGTGCGAATTTTGATTTAATTTAGTTGCAAACCCTGTTGCTTTAATTACGCTTATCTATCTAACATTCTGAGCTCTTTCTCAAATATTTTATTGTTTTTATTATAAACATAGAGAAGAAGTTAAACACATCAACATTATAGTATTCATGTGTGTTTAGTTTCTTGTATTTCAAAACTAAGCGATGTAAGCTCGTTTTAAATGGTATCACATGCAATAACGTTGGATAAGTAGGTCATAAAGATGGTGTCATATTTGTTAAATTTAAAAAAGCACATCGGTGATGAAGACATAATTCGCCAACGCATACTAGCTTATTAGCAAATAAAGCGATATAATAAAGCAAATCTGTTAGCACATGGCATATTATCTTATCGTAAATAATCAGTATGCGATTGAGTTCCTCAATGTCCTGTCAACGGCATATCTCATGTTTTGATTGTTTGCAATATGTAATGAAATTCCATTGACAAATACTTCGTACAATTTGTGTTCATTCCAGTCAAAATACATTTTCTAAACTATTGCTTAAATGCCAAAACTCTGTTGTTTTTATGCACAGACACAGTGTGCTTGTACTTGTACAATTAACTACCAACTGCTACTGTTGTGGTTCGGGTCACATGCCGTTCACTTTTCACCGTGCGGCATGTGACTTATTTTTCTCAAACACACTGGATAGATTTACGGCACCAAAGTAAAGGCCAATATCACGTAGTAGCTTTATTAGATAATTTTAATTTTCTTGGAGTAATGCAATTTTTGTAGTAATTTTCCATTTTTTAAAATAATTACATTTTTCATTAGTGTCTTTAAAAAAACAATGGAACAAAAGCCCTATGCTACCCATGTTTAGCCGTCTTGGTGATTGTGGTAGTTGTGCATTGTTATGTCTGGTTGTGACATGGTGTTACCCATGTTTAGCAGTCTTGGTGATTGTGGTAGTTGTGCATTGTTATGTCTGGTTGTGACATGGAGTTATCCATGTTTAGCCGTGGTGATTGTGGTAGTTGTGTATTGTTATGTCTGCTTGTGACATTGTGTTATCCATGTTTAGCAGTCTTGGTGATTGTGGTAGTTGTGCGTTGTTATGTCTGGTTGTGACATGGTGTTATCCATGTTTAGCCGTCTTGGTGATTGTGGTAGTTGTGCATTGTTATGTCTGGTTGTGACATGGTTTTACCCATGTTTAGCAGTCTTGGTGATTGTGGTAGTTGTGCATTGTTATGTCTGGTTGTGACATGGAGTTATCCATGTTTAGCCGTGGTGATTGTGGTAGTTGTGTATTGTTATGTCTGCTTGTGACATTGTGTTATCCATGTTTAGCAGTCTTGGTGATTGTGGTAGTTGTGCGTTGTTATGTCTGGTTGTGACATGGTGTTATCCATGTTTAGCCGTCTTGGTGATTGTGGTAGTTGTGCATTGTTATGTCTGGTTGTGACATGGTTTTACCCATGTTTAGCAGTCTTGGTGATTGTGGTAGTTGTGCATTGTTATGTCTGGTTGTGACATGGAGTTATCCATGTTTAGCCGTGGTGATTGTGGTAGTTGTGTATTGTTATGTCTGCTTGTGACATTGTGTTATCCATGTTTAGCAGTCTTGGTGATTGTGGTAGTTGTGCATTGTTATGTCTGGTTGTGACATGGTGTTATCCATGTTTAGCCGTCTTGGTGATTGTGGTAGTTGTGTATTGTTATGTCTGGTTGTGACATGGTTGGTTGTCTGATTGTGGTAGTTGTGCATAGTTATGTCTGGTTGTGACATGGTTTTATCCATGTTTAGCAGTTTTGGTTGTCCGTTTAGTGGGATTTATTTTATCCAGGCTGTTTGATCTGTTGATACAAATAAAATTTGACTTGTTTTGTCAATAGATTAGAAAATAAGATACAATGTCATCTAAACATTTATTATAATGGAAAACATCCGGCACAGGAAAACACAGGAAAGATGATGCATAGGTGATAAATAATAAAAAGAAGGCATATACTAATAGAAACGAAATGTTGATTATTTCATTCTAACTTTTATTCACTTTCGTCATAGTTGTCTCTTAGCTAAAATTTTCGTCCTCAGCGTTTGCCTCTGACATAGTTGTGTTGTTTCTTTATATATGCAACAAGAATTTCCACTTCAACTTTATAAAAACCTATATTTAACCCAAACGTATAAAGGTAGTAATAAATAAACTTATGAACGTGGACTTACAGGCACATTAAAACGAGGATAATAATACACTAAATGTACCATGAAATTTAACTGACACGTACCAGAAGAATGACGCAGATAAATCCATTAATAAAAAGAATAACACGAGTAAAAATGGATTCATTACATTAGTTAATCATTTGCAAAGCTCATTCTATTGACATCCACTTAATCTCTCTTCAGATTTGTGATAAGAATAAGAACAAGATGATAAGTGCTTGGTAGAGCGGGTATTCCCAGATCCCTAACACCCCCACCCCCCCCACCTCCATCCCTAGAGTATTATTGTAACTTTTGTAGACATCTAGCACCGTAAAGTCGGATCGTTTGACAGCACCAAAATACATACACGACTAGAAACTACGGTGATTGATTACGTTTAATATCACATAATTCAAAGATGAAATTATGTAGATGTGGACACCACGTGCTTTGTTGTTGACGTAATATTCTACGTGACGTCATTCGTTGGTGGTGCTCCTGGTGGTGTTACATGGTTCTAAAGAAGACATATGATTACAAAATGGCTCAGGTGGAAACTGGATATATTTATTTTTAATAACTGATATTTATGTCCATGAGCCAGGTCAGATTTATAAGCTCAATACATGTCAGTCAACTTTAGTTGTGACCAGGTTAGTGACAGAAATCCATAAAACTAACTTAAAACTGCAATTTTCTTGCTGTTTTCAATTAATTAAAGGCAGAGGTTAGAACAAATAATAGATGTTTCATGTTTCTCTGTAAATTACAATCAAACTCTAACTCCCCGCCCTACCTTCTCACACATTTGTGATTAGAGCTTTTAACCCTTGGGAGAGCCATATACCTATTGTGTATCATCCTTTGTATACCCCATGTCTTTGCAAATCTTAATATTAAATCTTGAGCATGTTCAAAACATTTCAGCGTTTACGCGTGTATGAGTCGTACGTTACACATACGCTAGGGATACGCTAGGCATAGGACGAATACACTAAACTGATGCTAAGGATACGAAACAGAGGCCCATCTAATAGCATGATTGGTATAGGAAACATATGTATAGCATTTATGCAATGTAGTACTGATGAACTAGCAGGATATACGGAACATGCGTATTTGTAACGATCAATTAACGTACGTAAACATATATAGGCGTATATAAAATATCACTTTCGTGTTTAAGCGGACGTATTTCACCTAAACCTAACGCATCATAAGCATATGAAAAAAGTATTTCCCACGTTTTGTTACCTGTGGTATAATCAGAATTGAATTTCCACTTATTTATCACAGCTTATTTTAGATTGAGAGGATGGAGATCCCTTTATTATAACACCTGACTCATCTAAACCAGTGTGCAGTTCATAATCATCAGCAAAACAGAAATTCGCTTCCCATACGCTCATATGCATTAATTATACGCGCTAATCAAACGCTCATATATGCCAATTAAAAGTTGATATACGGAACGCTACAGTTACGATGACTCATATTAATACTCATATTAAAACCCAAGTCATACGATGTAAATACGCTATCAATACGTTGTTTCTACGCTACGTACATGTATACGTTCCTTCTCATACGCTTGAAAAGGGTGATTTAATACGTCGAAAGTAGTACGTATAATCGATTTGACTAACTCATACGGATATGTGTAAGCTATAGCGTGACAGACCTTGTAGAAGTAGAGTGACATGGAAAAGGCAATAGTTAGCCTTCCATAAGGTGAGATAAAGGGAATGCTTTCTTGTAGAGCTTGGCTGGGGCACGTGGTCACGTATTGAGGACTGTACTGTGAACTGTAACGTTTAAATGAGAAGGGAAATGGAGGGAGAGAAAGGGAGAGAGAGAGAGAGAGAGAGAGGAAATAGAGAGAAAAACGCTTACAAACGCAACTAAGTAAATAAAAAATAGTAAATTAAAGAATAAAATAAGAATAAAAATGAAAATTAAATAATCAATCGCAGATATTTACAAGGATAGAAAAGTTACATAATAGTTAGTGCGAGCTATAAAGCCAGATGTGTCAAATCGTTCTAGGAGTCCTCAAAAACAAGTTGAAGTAGACAGCACAGTCGCCGTAATATGGTAGCATTCACGCTCGGCTGTCACCTTGATTGGATGGTAAACGGTTGTCGTAAAATCGCTAAATGATATTAAAACCCGGTGCATAAACTTGAAAACCACCTAGGACAACCTTGGACTGCCACATTAATCCAATACAATGCAAAAATAAACTATAACAAGTGGTTAAAGCCTTCAAACCGAATGTTGTAAAGTCCCCATATACCTCCATAGAGACAATAAAATAGAGTCAGCTCGTGAAACAAAAATAAACCAACTAAAACATAATAATCGAAATAAAATACTGCCGGGCATCGGAGCGGCCTAAAACTTGGCACGCTTATCGCAAATACTGCAAGCTACATCATCCCGTCGCTCGTTTGTAAATTCCGTGCATGGCATACGCACAATCAAACCGTAAAGCCAAATTCCACCTCTGATGTTTATTTTGGTCCTCTCTACAATCCAATTCAGGAAATGACGTAACCGCAGAGGTCGCATTGTCCAATGGCATGGCTTCTTTTTCGTAATGGGAGGTTAGAGAGGACCAAAATAAACATCAGAGGTGGTTTGTTAGGCTTGTGTCGTATACGTCTAGAGCACGCAGCATTTTCGCAAACGCAGAGAAAAACGATTTTTACCAGGTTCAAAATAATTATTTCATACGCTGGTCATACGTTCATTCTTGTAAACTGGAAAAGGGTTGATTTTATAAGCTCAGGTTGTGCGTATATTCGATTTCACAAACGATACTTAAAACATTCTTCTATACGCTAGAGAGTGACATAGCCTTTACGTGCATATTATAACCAATCCAAATCCCGGCAACATTCAGTTAAGACAGAGTGGATGTCTGTGGATTCAAAGTGAAACGTATCAGTGGAACAATATGTATACTTTTTACAAACAGTTAATGTCTTTGACTTTTAAAATCATACTATGAGGCAGAGCTTTGACTTCTTTCTTTTTTTCAGGACACTTCATTTGCTGTCCAGGTCAATCTCCGTACCACTGGCGTGTGCGTAGCGCATGATGAACAGCGTCAGCTCTTGCTGGTCCAGCTTACCGTCACTGTTAGTGTCGCAGAACTTCAAGATGGCTTCCTTGAATTCTTTCAGGTCGTTTGCATCATAATCCTAAAGAACAAAAATTGAAAAAAAGCCATTTCAAGCCACTTAACAAGAAACGGACAAATTTGGAAATACAATAATATGAATATAGGACACCTTAAACGTCACAATCGTATACTAACATTTTAATTGTTATATATTATATTACGATAAGCAATTTATGATGGTTAATTTTGAAATAAAAGCATCTAATGGCTACTCTTATCTACCTCATTGACCAGCTCAATCAAATCCTTCAAAAAACCGGACAACTCATCGTTCTCAATACAACCATTTCCATCCTGGAAGAAGTGAAATATGGCCGTCACATAGGTTGGTGAACATACGCCTTTCTGCATAACAAAACATAACAATAATCTCAAGAGACCAAGACGTTTTCTGTATGTAATCCATGTAACCGTTTTGTACCTAATTCACACACAACAGTAAAACAGCGCTTGATTGAAATTACCCTGTCCTACAACTGGGGCACGCAGTCCACGCCCCTTATTGTTATATTGGTGTTATACTTACCCTGTCGTACAACTGGAACACGTGATCCACGTCCTTCATTGTTATATTGGTGTTAAACTTACCCTGTCGTACAACTGGAACACGTGATCCACGTCTCTCATTGTTATATTGGTGTTATACTTACCCTGTCGTACAACTGGAACACGTGATCCACGCCCTTCATTGTTATATTGGTGTTATACTTACCCTGTCGTACAACTGGAACACGTGATCCACGTCCTTCATTGTTATATTGGTGTTATACTTACCCTGTCGTACAACTGGAACACGTGATCCACGTCCTTCATTGTTATATTGGTGTTATACTTACCCTGTCGTACAACTGGAACACGTGATCCACGTCCCTCATTGTTATATTGGTGTTATACTTACCCTGTCGTACAACTGGAACACGTGATCCACGTCCTTCATTGTTATATTGGTGTTATACTTACCCTGTCGTACAACTGGAACACCCGGTCCACATCTCGCATTGTTATCTTGGCGTTCTGCTGAAACCAGACGGAGGGTGTTTCATTAATTTTGGCCGAGATGAGTGGAATTGCTAAGGTTACACATTAATAGACTTGTAATTGATTAAAAAGAGGCCAAAGGGGGATTTTTCATTAAACATTTACAAGTATGTCTCCTAAACTCTTCACTTTTTTCTGCACTGTCCAGAAAAATCTTTGCTTGAAATATTGGAATTAATGTCATAACTCAGCTAACCTCTAGTATCGAGTAGCCAGTCAGTGTGAGGGTGTGTGTGTGTGTGGGGGGGGGATTGTCAATTGCACTTTAAGGATTCTGTTCCACAGAGCAGGAACGTCATGACAACTCCTACCTTGAAAATGGGCCTACACAGGAAGTTTTCCTTTACTGGAAGTAATCTGGAATATAAATATCGAAATTAAGTGGGCAATCAACCTTAAACGTGTAAATTGTAAAAGGAGTGTATGGCGGAAGCTGCGAACAAACTTAAACATCAACTGCTTCAAGCGGATATCAAATATGAATACATGAAATTAACAACCCTTGGAAATATTAAAAAGATTAAACGTTACATTGTTCATTATGCTAAAAAATAAACCATACTTGGCCATTTCACTGAACTGCAGTTTGCCGTCTTTGTTACTGTCGAATAACTGCAGCTGGAAGATAGCAATGTCATGTATTTAATTTTTAAAACAACATTCACAATCTCAAATAACTGACAGGGAAAGTCTCAATATCTGACAACCACCAGTTCCACTGTCAAAAATAACACACTAAGTTAACATCTCAATATCTGACCAGACAATCTCTTACAGCACAGGTGCAAAGTTGGCATATTACCATTGTGTCGGTGTATTCAATCAGCTGCTCCTCTGAGACAGTACGGTGTTCCTCTTTCAGCAAGTGCTTAAGGAAATTCTGGAATGATGAGCCTGATTCCATAAGATCCGCAAACAACATTCACTACGTTCTTATTTTGATAAACTGTTGTTGCAACTGATAAGTCTCTTTGTCTCAACAATAAAACAATAACGATGCGAAATACGATTATTCCTATTGATATGTTGTCAGCAATGACGATGGAAAAACGATTATTACTACTGATATGTTGGTAACAATATCGATCAGAAATCCTATATTTTTTATAGACATGATGACATTTACTGGACAGCGTGAAGAAAACCGTAAGTATTAAAATTAAGAAAAAAATATGTTCAACCAGTATAAACATTAACACAAATCTAATTACTGTCACCAAACATACCTTCAATTCGTCTGCCTCGATATAACCACTAGCGTCTTTATCAAATTCCCGCCAGATCTAAACAGATTATATATATTACAATGAATTAATATCTCATATTTTAAAAATTATCAAATTCCCGCCAGATCTTAACAGATTATATATATTGCAATGAATTAATATCACATATTTTAACAATTATCAAATTCCCGCCATATCTAAACAGATTATATATATATATATATATATATATATATATATATATATATATATATATATATATTGCAATGAATTAATATCACATATTTTAACAACAAGACACAGAACATCTTCTGGTAAGCAATGTATTGTTGTCCAAATAACCATTAAAAGCTCCAAGAAGAAAAGGAAAGATCGACACATCTTTTGTTTTAAAAGTATCTCATTCCTATAACGATAAAAATATTTGCCCCAGGTAATAATTTAAACATCATACCTTCATAAATTCTGCGCTGCTCTCTAAAGGATTGTCCTTTCGGAAGAGAAGCAAAAAGCTTTCTTCCATTGGTAAAATCTGTGCAAGCTGAAACAAATTAAGCCAATATTGTATACCGTGGCAAACTTCAAATACCCGCAATCTAATTCTGTGGGATTTTAAACTGTTGCGTGGTGCAAAGCTTAAAGTGATAATAACTCTTCGTTTCGGCCAAAAAATGAATTTTCATGGAGTAAACAACAATTTTCCCATACTTACCAATGGTTAATGAATCCATTTTTACATTCAAAGTTAGTCCCTGGTTTTTTTCTAAAAAGTTTGGATTTTTGTTTAAATCTCTTAAGAGATTTTAACAGAGTATAGCCATCTGTGGAGGTCACGTGGTCTAAAGACAAGCTCAGATATCAGAATAATAGCTATAACAGCCGCTTTTGTGGGAAAACAGAATATATTATTTTTTATGAGTCACTCACAATGTTTTTATTGTGAAATACAGATTTCATTCGAAGAGTTATTATCCCTTTAAATATATAATATTGAAATTTCTAAATTACATTTATTTGTGTAAATAAATGTAAAATATTACATTTATTTGAGTAAAATATCTAGTTATTGACTATTTTACCTCCGACATCTCAATCTTGTTATCCCGGTTCTCGTCGTAGGCGTCCAAGAACAGCTCTTTCATATTCTTCAACGAGGCATCGGACACCACCTAGAAGACAGCAGACACATTGCACTCCGCAACCTTTCATATCCACCTTTATACTATAAAGAATTATTATTATTATTATTATTATTAACAGTCCCATAAAAACTACATATTCTTTAAGGCAAGCAATGTGTTCTAGAGGATGTTGTCCCCGGAAGGTCACCCATGCCATGCGTTATTCTCTGTAAGTCCAGTGATGAACACAAAAAAAGAGAAAATGTCATATTTTAACAGGTTCCACGTGTCTCGTGGGATAAACATAAAAGTAATGTGTCGTCTTTAGACAATGCACAGTGAGGATGCCGTTAAATTATCTTAAGTGTGTGTATGTGGATGATGTGGAATTATCTAAAGTGTGTGTATATGGATGATGTGGTATTATCTAAAGTGTGTGTATATGGATGATGTGGAATTATCTAAAGTGTGTGTATATGGATGATGTGGAATTATCTAAAGTGTGTGTATATGGATGATGTGGAATTATCTAAAGTGTGTGTATGTGGATGATGTGGAATTATCTAAAGTCTGTGTATACTGTGCCGTGTAACAACAAATGATGGGTCAGTGCATGAACATGTATATGCTGTGCAATACGTCCTGTACCTTTGGTCACATGCTATAGCTTATTATATATGATAGCCAACTGCACACACGTGTCTTACCTGTTTCTTTTTCTATCGGTAAAGGAATATTGTAGCACAGCAGAGGAGAGGTGGAGAGAGAGAAAGTGACAGAGAAAGATGGAAAGGGTGAGGCGGACAGACAGATGCAAAAAATGAGCACTGCTAGCGTATGGCAACAGTGTTTGTATGTTTTCTTTATAAATCAGTTGCTGGTATGCGACTCTTCTTTTTGCTCTAAATCAAATTTATAGACAAAGGAAATCAACATCTGATGTTTGTTTGTCATAAAACCTAATTATATGTGTAAAATGCGATCGTTGATGTTATAACATTAACCTTACGGGATTTTGTCAACGTACCTGTTTCCGTTTCTACCCGGACGAGTGCAGGAGGAATAACACAGAATCATTAGGCTACTCTAAAGGACAGACGGGATAGGAAAGCAAGCTACTATAGCACAAGCACCTTAGGTTAGTCTAGTTGTGACAGTCCCAGGATACAGTACACGATGTGTCTTATTGTTTAGATTCCTCTACGTCATCACTTCACCCGTATTGTTCAATAAGAACCGCGTGATTTGAGCTGTTCGGTTAGTCACGTTACAACAGGCAGGCTCATAGATAGCCTGGAAATGTTGTATTGTTAGTGTGCTTTCTTTTAAACGTTAATCATTAAATCGTGAAAGGGAACTTACCTGTGGTCCAGCGTCCGTAGAGACCACACTAGAGACAAACTCCCTGAGGAAGCCATCCAATTCCTTACCTTCTATAAAGCCGTTACCTGGAAAATAAAGATGACAATTAAATTCCGAGACGACCGCACATTGCATGCCACAGATATAGTCAGGTAAAGCAGAAGTGACATAATAGAAAAACGTTTCAACAGACGCCAGTAGAACAGACACTGAGTGCATTATTCAGGGACCATTCAGAATGAGAAGAGCCGAGTGTTAGCTAGGCCACGACCTAAATATGGCGGACCTATATGAGAGGAAGACCGCTTAATCCAATAATGGTCTCTCCGCCTCTCACACGGCTCCCATGCGTCGTCCCTTGGCTGGTTGAATCTCAGGGACGACGTGTGGGGAGGCGAGTGAGAAGCGGAAAGACCATTACAGGACTAAGCGGTCTTCCTTTCACGTAGGTCCGCCATATTTAGGTCGTGGCCTAGCTAGCACTCGGCTGTTCTCATTCTGAATGGCCTCTAAGAGATACAAAAACCATATATATAGGCAAAGTAAGTTTATTTAAACAGTTATACGGGAGACACGTAAAACATGACGTTGCCAGTCTTGCCAAATGAAATGTGTAACTAAAACTAGCACGATACTATTTATTTTCATTAAATGTGAAGATATATAACGACAAAGTTAAAATGATAAAACACACTTTTGGGGGCATTTCAACAATCGGTCAAGCAATCACTATCTTAACTGTTATATTATCGGAGTGACCTGAGGACTGAAGAAGTGGTTCTTCTTCTCCAGGCTGGTCTGTTGGTGCTCTGCGTTAGGAGCTGTGCTATATTCATTACTTAACTGTTATATTATCGGAGTGACCTGAGGACTGAAGAAGTGGTTCTTCTTCTCCAGGCTGGTCTGTTGGTGCTCTGCGTTAGGAGCTGTGCTATATTCATTACTTAACTGTTATATTATCGGAGTGACCTGAGGACTGAAGAAGTGATTCTTCTTCTACAGGCTGGTCTGTTGGTGCTCTGTGTTTAGAACTGTATTATATCAATGTCCACTCCTGTCCGACCAGCTATTGTGTTATCGTCCGCGGCTTCGTCCTCTTTAACGGTACCTTGCATGATGGATTTGCATAGACTGTCACTTCGAGTGACGTGCCTGAACCAGGCTTCTGTCTCTTAATGATGACGAGGAAGGGTTTCTGGGGAAGGAGGGGGACAACGTAGCACTCTGCTTTGCCCCTAACATTCCAGTCGGTCTTACGCTCGAGGTTTGTGAGGTTCAGAGGCTTCTTTTAAGATTAAACGTGCTTCTTGGACTCTGCTAGACATTTAGTGAAGGATAGATAAATACGGCAATGTGTTTATTCACACTGGCGTCTGTAATAACGAACAATAATGAAATAAGCAACCGGGGTGATTGCTTTGTGACGTAAATGATCCACAAACCAATCAAAATTAATTTGAAACTGATAAAAATCGTTTTGTAACATATTTGGCAACTGCTGCTGACTTCCAGATTTAATAAACAATACACGTACTAACAGCGTATATTAATCAATATGTGTATATTGGCAAGTAACAATAAATGAGATTTTAATATTTTCCCTTTCAAAACAAGGCATAGCGTGAGCCAGGGTAATTTCTTTTCTCCGTAATGTAGCAAGAAATCGATATTTTAACATAGAACGCTATGTATATATCGGGTTTTAATTAGGATACGAAACTGTTGGTAAAAAAGGTGTGAATAGCAAGCAGTATCATACCTAAAATATGACACGCATAATTCCAATCTGCCGTTGTGAATAAATTGTTTTTGTTATTCTTGAGGAATCTGCTACATGTATCATGGCAATATAATTCAAACTCAATTACAAACTGATTGAACCCCGCAGAAGTGAACCCACCCTGGGGAGAATTGACAATCTCAGGCGTCCAAGAACACGGCAATCTCAAAACAACAAACACGTTGACGTCAATCAGAAAAAAAAACGTCAGAAAAGCATTTCATCGCAGTTCATTTTTTGCATTGCATTACAACTCTATACCTCAATGTGCTGGCGGTGTTAGAAAGAAGTTAGATCTAAACGCTTGAAATTAACGTTTCAACTTAATAGAATATTAAAACAAAACCGTGTTCGTCATTATTTTAATGCTTACAGTTAGTTGAAAAGTGTATAAGTCGTACAGTATAATAATTTTTTCTTTATCGGCAAGTCCTACGTTTAGGTAAAACATAAATGTAATGATTCATGGGGCCCGTTGAACTGACACGTGTAGTTGGTTTAGGATGGTTCAATCTATGGGTAAGTCATTTAATTTAGAAAGTCTGCGATGATATCAAGTACTTGGTACCCATACTCATTGTCTGCCTGAGTACTGTTTTATACATTTCTGTTAGATCAGTTTTCACAACCCAATGTTTCACTATGCACAAAAAATACGCTTAGGATCTGACATTGGAAATAACTTTTCCGTATGTATATAAGATATGCACTCCTGCATGTTTCCCGAGTACCGTACACCGTCAATGGTACAGTTATCAACCACTATTCGGTTTCTTCTAAAACGAACAGTTGAAGTTTTCTTTAAATCAGCATTAAATCAACATTATTATGTTCTGTACACTCATATGTAAAGAAAATGCATAGACTGCAATATAAACCGACTGCCCAACTCAAAGGTGAATGTTTAGTAAAGGTACAGTGATCCGGGGAGCTAGGCGTGGTAGCAGGCGGTACGGTCGACGCCACATATAACACACACAGTACAGTGATCCGGGGAACTAGGCGTGGTAGCAGGCGGTACGGTCGACGCCACATGTAACACACACAGTACAGTGATCCGGGGAACTAGGCGTGTATTCGACAAGATCAAAGTTTTATGAGACAGCTAGGTCTATGAGACAGCTAGGTCTATAAGACAGGGCTGGTTAGACGACTTATATAGTCACGTGCTAGGCCAGCTCAGTAACTGCGTAGAAAACCTTAAGGCAAGTCACGACATTCCTACCATGTCGTCTTCAGATCCTTTCAACAATAAATATATCTACAAGACCAAATATCTATCTTAGATAAAGAGATATCTCCCAGACCAAATGTCTATATAAGAAACACTAGGAGGAACAAAATCTAAGAATGTGTTTTTACATATACAGTCCCTTCCACAATGCCTCGGTGGTTCGTCAATTGTGAAGAAAGGCGTGTAAACATTGGATGCTATTCTAAAATTAGGTTCGTAAGTTGTCGGTGTCCCTGGAGTGTTCAGTGGAATTCAGAACCTGATGTGGCAACAATGGAAATTGTCTACTTAAATGTAGATTTTTTCATATCAGCAGTTAATTGCCACTTGTTGTCAAATAATGAAGCGACGACAAATGGATACAAATAAGAAACGGCGTGCATGCAGCACGTGCCCAATATCTGTGGTCAATACAGTCAGACAAAAATAGATTACGTTAATTGCGTTCTGGTATTTAATCATAAGCAACTCCTGGCCCCTAACAATAATCCACGAGGCGCAATAAATCAACGTGCAGTTGCTGTAAGCAAACTAGGAGATGGTTCATATTGCATTAATTCCTGCAGGTTGTTCAAGAACAGACGCTTCCCCTAGTACTCACCTGTAGCGTCACGAACAGAAATGATAAAATGGAGGAATCATCGCGAATGATAAAAGGATCGATGAAATTCGAGAAACACAAGTAGAGTTTATTCAACTTTATCCCAGATCGAAATGGTTGATATCAATTATATCGGGCACTGTACATGTCAATTTATTCAAGGTTATTAGAGCTGACATAAAAAATCAGTTTGCTTAATTTATTTTAGATAAGTAGGGCTAACGTCAAGAAAAGTCAGATTGCCACTTAAATTGTTGACTTGCTGATTTTAATAATCACACGTTATGTTGGTAATTTATCAAAATAAGTTATCGTGCTGTGGGGCTATGCTGTTAGTAAGCCAAATTTATTGTCCCCGTACTCTGTAATAATGCTGTTGAAAAAGTGGACTCTCCTATGGAGAAGCATCGAATAAACTTTCTATATTTGGAAGTCTTGACTTCGCACTTGTATAAATATAACAGAAACGGAATGATACAGCGTTAAGGTTATTATTACGTTAGATTAACTGGATCAGTGGAAGCCAATAAATTCATTTTCTATTGACGGTCAATATCAACTAAGTTAGGGCATGGCACTGAAAGGCAGTCCCTGTGCTGGCCCAGGCTAATCCCACTGACAAATGGAGTATCGATTTTAGGCAAAGTTCTAACGCAGTCGATGGCGGCGTGAACCATGTGTTTTCCAAATAGAAATTAACATCTTTATGGTATTGGTGGACGCATTAAGCGCGTGAATCCCGTATCGATTTATCTTATCAATAACATTATACTTAAAGAGTAAAATGCCCATTTCCTATTTTCCCTTCCTTCAATTTCACTCTCCAGAGTGCCACTGTTGTAGTTCGGAAGGAGAACTGGATCCGTTCTACATGAAAAATGCAATACGTCCCTATTTGTAGTAAATATGATCTTTGGCAGCGATCTCTTCATTTGGACAGTGCGTTCTGCTGATAGTGGCACGGCTGCCCCAAGTGTGTTCTCGTATTCAGAAAACTTTTTTGAAAATGTAATGTGCAAACATACAGGGTGAAATAAGGCGAGAGAGCGTGCATCTCTCCCATGTTAGGCTGCAGCTAGTGTGGAAGAGATATCAATAAAAGCACCTAACAAGTGCCATTATGTCAATTTGCACAGCATCAATCAATAATCGTGGTTTACAGAAATCATTTAAGTATTCATTAAAAAAAAAGAAAAAATGATAACAATAACATGCTGTAAAAGTGACAAATAAATGTCGATATTTTTAATCACACATTTTTTTAATTTTCATTAAACTACTTGATAGATGGATTATTTATTTTTTCCTGAAAATTTTTATATTTGCAACTGTTGTTGGTTTCTTTCACAAAAACGAATTGCCGGTGCCTCCGCAGTACAAGTGACAAATCCAATGCTTTTGCTTGTATATATATATATATATATATATATATATATATATATATATAAATATATATATATATATATATTCTTTTTTTATGTGGAACTAACTTCTATAAGAAGGGATGCCAGTTTTACGGACGGAGAGGTGGATCTCTATACTATTGAAGGTAACAGCTAATGGAAAGTTTAATCTAAAACGACACTGCTTGCTTTTGGTCCTGCAAAGAGCAATGTGCGTCTTGTTATTTCCACAGTAGTCCCACAGTGTCACACAGCTCTGGAGTCACACAGTGTCACACAGCTCTGGAGTCACACAGTGTCACACAGCTCTGGAGTCCCACAGTGTCACACAGCTCTGGAGTCACACAGTGTCACACAGCTCTGGAGTCACACAGTGTCACACAGCTTTGGAGTCACACGGTGTCACGCAGTTCTTGAGTCACACAGTGTCACACAGCTCTGGAGTCACACAGTGTCACCGTGGTCACCGTGTTCATCACATCGTTCTACTGATTTATGTTCACTAAACACGGGAGTATCGAGCATGAGAATTAACGCAATGATTTCACATGAGCAAGTACGACATCATCGAATCTCTTTTTCACACACACGATCTGCAATCTAAACATCACTGTATTCAGCTAAATCCACATTCCTTATTCGCTATCACTGCTCCCCGTCTGACGGCATATATCAAATGTGACTGTCACTGGCAGTGTCGCTATAAACGATATACGAGTCATGTGTCACATTGTTTACATTTTAAACTGGGTCTGCACTGTTCAAATGATATTTTTCATCTATTCTCCAAGAATACTGTTCATAACCCGCTATGACCGTATGGTGCTTTCATTCACGCAGGCGTGCCACGGGTAAAAGTAGCAAAAGTTTTAAAAATAACCACTTTGTTTAAGGTTAAACGTATCTGACATGAAGACACTCCTAAAACGGCTTGTTTCAGTTCCAAGAATTCCGTAAAATAAAGACATATAAAAACATGAACACAATCATGATTTCGTTGCAAACGAGTCAAGTTGGTGTAGTGTATGAGACATCGAGCTATTTTAACAAAAACTATGATAATGTCAGTATCAAATAGTGATCTATGACAGAATGAGATCAAATAGACACGTGTGTTATGCAATGTTTACAGAGGACACAAAACCCAGCTTTTTGATGAACTGTTTTTTTTATCACACGACCTTTCAGTCGAATATTTTTCCACGTCGCTATGCCATTTGAACAATTTGTCCCCACCTATTAAAAGGTTTAAACAATAAACCTGTGTACTATCTATACACTTCACCGCCATTATTTGTTTTCATAATTGATGCTACAGGCTTTGTATTATGATGCGACGAAAAATGTATCAATTATTTGTAAAGATCATATCATATTTTAAAAAAGGGTTATCCTAGGCGCATTTTAATCGATATCATCTTTTGTTTGCAATACCACAGTACACGTACCAGTGTTATACTGGGGACGTTCAATAATGTTGAAGAGGCTCTCTTTACGTCATGGGAAGACGGGTATTTTCACATTGCCACACTGTCACATAGACTTAATACTATATATTATACAGAGGGTGACCCCCCCCCCCCACTCCAATGACTCTGTTTAGTCACACTGTCACATAGACTTAATACTATATATTATACACTCCAGTGACTCTGTTTAGTCACACAATCACAAGGAATACGCCATAAGGTGAATTACCTTCAGAAACATGAATTAAAGTTCGGATACAGCTAATTATGTACTTCGCAATTTTAAAATAAGAAAAGAAATATTACGTGTTTTGTAAAATAAGGACATGCATACCATATATCTTTGTATATCTGGTAATACTTCTATAATACACAATGTGCATATGTATGGGTAACTATATGTGATTGTGGCCTAAAATTCCTTTATCAAATACAGTAAAATATGTTATTTGCCCAAACTAACACCCATCATACACACGAAGAGCGACCTTCTGAAGTCACTGACTCTATTTACCAGTAATGTCGTGGACATATAGGCCTATATATCAGAGAAAGTACGTTATACTTTCATATAACCATACACGTATAGATGGCAAAACATTGAAGACATACTAATACCAGCATAACATTCTAAAACGCAAACTATATCAACACAACCATATCAACAAAATTAGGTCCTCTCACACGTTCATGTTTGACTGTACTCTTTATGAGGCGGGTCAGTCAGTGCTGAAAGAAGCTCCGTTCTCTCCATTCTGTAGCACTACAACACAACAAGAGTTAGTACACTTACCGTCGGCATCGTAATGCCTCCATACGTCCATGAACTGACCAGCGGTGAACGGTTTCCAGCCTTTGGTGGACTGGTCACGGAACTGACGCATAAAGTTGTCGTATTTATCTTTCTTTGCTCCCTTAGCTGCCATGCTGATATTACCTTGATGTGATCTGGTAAACTACAGCAGATGACGCGGCCTCGTCAACAGCTAGATATGATATGACAGTTTACTTTCCGGGAATCACTGGAGACTGCTTCAGTTTGGAATTAAGGACAATTCAATTGGCTGAGCGCCACAGGCTAGAAGCTGGGAAAGCTGTTCGACAGTACCTACGAATAAAATAGATAAAAATATTTCTGATATTCTGAAACGACATTCAGTCATTAATTCTATATATTTGCAATGTTAGGCCAGCGGCACATGATAGTAAAGTGAGCTCCAGGCGTGTACTGAGACCTGGTTTCCTTGGCAATCACGTGGAAAATGACAACACTTCCACAGCTGAACTATGTAACGTGATCTGGACCCCAGTGGCAGCTGATCACACCTTTGAGGCTGCCATGGAAAGGCCTCCAGTACCACGTGAAACTCCCCAAACAGAACGCTGGTTAATTACCTAATTCTAAGCGGTCCCCGGTAGTGGTGAGATTGGCCCTGAGCTGCTGCGTACATCATATATAAACCACTATCTAGCGGCCTTGATGAGCCCGAAGATGCGTGCGCGGATTATTATTTGCGCTGGTAACAGGTGTTTGGATTTTCTGCACGCCGGGCAGATCGTTAGAGAACAAGCGGGTATTGCTCTAGAAAATGGAGTTTGTTAGTTGAAACCATATTATCGAACAATCTTTATTAACACTAAGCATGCTTGATACGGGCCCATAGAGATTTAATTCACTAGGAAATATTCAGAGCGCTCGAACTTAGCCTTTTCGTTCGGAGAGCGGGGACGAGGTACAAGATCCTGACTATGGCCAATGCCTGAGCTCGAGGATGGCTTGCCTCACAGGCATTGCCAGCTCTCTGGGGACGCTAATAGGCTCACCAATTTTTCTTCATTACAATCCATGAATCAAGGAAGTGAGGAGCTCTCTCCAATATGTGTCCCTTTCAGTGAAAATCCAATAAAAATTATAAAACATTGGCTGGTCACATCACCATTTCCTGCACATGGAGCCATGCCAATTAATTTCAGGAAGTGGACATATTCCATCTTTTGTCATATTTCATCTTTTGTCATCTCCATACAATAAAATAGCAATGGTAGAATCAGTAGGAGAGAGACTGGGCCTCGCATCAGCTTGAGATGTTCATTTCAATGGATTACATAGCACTTGATGGTCCTTTAGCTTTGGAAGGAAGGAAGAAAAATATTTTTGTCTTTTTTTCACAGATTGAATAATATGAAAGTTTTCGAAGTGTTAAAAATAACAAATTGCGTCAATCTAAATACCTATGTGATTCATTATAGATAAACGACATCTCATGTAAGTTTTAAACTACTGTAGGGGCCTACATGAAAAGAAATTGAGAAAATAAGGATCAAAGAAACGAATGGAAAAAACATATTCAATCAAGAAGCCTTTTGAATACGGCTGAGGACATCTGCAACATTGAGGTGAACTCCACGACGTGGGACGGCACTGAGTCTGTTGTCATACAGTGACTGCCTGAACTCACACGACGTGTGACGGCACTGAGTCTGTTGTCATACAGTGTCTGCCTGAACTCACATCACTGCATGACACTGTATGACAATAGTCCCCCTTCTGGTATGTCGACCATAAACAACAGTTAATTTGTTGTAGTTGTTATCAGAAAGCTGCGGCACTTATCAATGAGTTCTAAAAAAACAGTCCCCAAACCTTTTAAATTTAATTAATAAAAACCAACATGTAATTAACGTGCTTTATTTTCTCAAGAAGAACCCACTCCCACCCCTCCCTTCTGCCAGGCAGTGGGTGGCATCTGGATCAATGTAGGTTTTAAAAGCCTCACAAACAACTAATGGACCTAGCTGGTCTTGCATGATGGGTTGTCAATATTAGTTACAATACTGCAATCAATATCCCCTGTTTTCACAAAGAAGTTCTTTGTAGCAATAAACACACACTTAACTGTTTACAGACCAGATTACTGCGCGTCAAAATGTGGTTTCAACACCCATCCTGCTGCAGGGAAAAACACAATAACCAATCATTAGCGACAACAGTTCCGTAATGTCCCTTTACAATAAAGAGACAGCACTGAGGGTAATTGACAGTAATCGAGTTACTGTAACGATATCTTTCATATTAGAAGACAGAGGTTGTGTAATAGTTGACGGAGCAGCTGCACAGGATAAACTAATCGTTACCCGGGGAACAGGTCCAAATGGTGCAGAGGGATTGCACGGCCATTATTGGTGATGGTTTATGAAAACCCACTTCATCGCATGGTTTCTGCCTCGGGCACTACTCCTCCATTAGCGCTGCAACGATGTTATATCTGTGGTACAGCAAGACTGTGGAGATATCCAGTATGGCCCTCCATGACCATGCAATCAAACTTCGTGCTTATAGAATCGTTAGCACGTTTTTGTACTCAGCACCGTTAGCAAGATCACATAGTTACCGGTACGCTAGGACATGTGAACTGCATTGTTGGAAAAGTCTTATTTCACAAAGAACAGCGACCGCCATTAAAATCCAAAATATCCGCCTGTATTACAGCATACGACTTACTACTGAATTCATTCATGTTTTACTCATTAACATTATGTTATTCTAAGTTGGCGCACAGTTAGTGGTAAAAATCGAGATAAAAATTATCCTGTCCACGTTGAAATGCCACAAAATGATATTTTTATTTTGCAAAGAGTCCTGATTTCCCGATTCAAACCTAAAATATCATACATGGCTCTGGAAACAGTGGATAGGAACATTAGATCTGACACAACGCATGGAATAAAAGCGGCTATCCATATATAAAACGCAATACCACGCCATTTTCTTGACTAATGAAGTGAAGACGAGACCAAACCAGGTACTGTGAATTTTTTAGGGTCCAGATATTTACATTACATATTGACCACATATGTGTCCAGTGTGAGGAGAGCTACAAGGTTTCAGGTGTACAATGTTGTAGAGCAGTCTCACATACTAAGTTTCAGGTGTACAACGTTGTAGAGCAGTGTCACCCAGTGAGTTTCAGGTTACAATGTTGTAGAGCAGTCTCACCCACTAAGTTTCAGATGTACAATGTTGTAGAGCAGTCTCACCCACTAGGTTTCAGGTGTACAATGTTGTAGAGCAGTGTCACCCAGTAAGATTCAGGTGTACGATGTTGTAGAGCAGTGTCACCCAGTAAGTTTCAGATGTACAATGTTGTAAAGCAGTGTC